CGCGAGTCCGTAGAAAAAGAATGCATAGCGTGTGATCAGAAAGAGAAGCGGAAGAGAAAGACAGAAAGAGAGTGGGGGAGGGAGAAAGAGAAAGAAGAAAAGAGTAGGAGGAGAACAAACGCCGTTGGGCCGCAGTGTCAGTGGAGTTCAATCTTAATATAGTATGACCTCCACTGCCATTCGAGACAGTGTCGGACGCGACGGCAGTTGCAACTGCGAGCGAGCGAGCGAGTGAGTGAGAGAAAGAAAGAGAGAAACGGGGACCGACAGAAAGAGAGAGAGAAAGATACGGCGACGGAGCGAGAGTGATTAAAGAAGAAGAAGGGAGAAAGACGCGGGGGTAGAGGAGAGAGAGGAAGAGACGTGCTGGTGAACGCGTGCGTGCGTTGCACCTTATTTCCCAGTCCGATGAGTGAGCCTCGCCTCGGTTATTTCAGAGACATCAGTTTCGAGAGAGAAAGAGGAAAGAAGGAGAGAAGATACGGAGAGAATGCGCGTGGTGAGAGAGACGATGCGTGCGTGCGTGCGTGCGTATGCTTAGTCGTCGAGAGTGTCATCGATCTATTTCGAGAGGAGGCTGGAATTTCTGGCCTTCGCGAGGGGTCAGTAGAAGAGAGAGATAGAAGAATGGGGAGGATGAGAGAAAGAGAGAGAGAGAGAGAGAAAGAAAGAGGAAATCTCTCTCGCGTAGGGGGAGAGAAAGGAGGAGAGGAAAGAGAAGAAAGAGACGACGCGACGATGGACGGATGGATGGACGAACGGGTCGTTACCACACCTGCGCGCGCACTCGCCGATCTGGATTGCCCGATGGTCAACGCACGAATGACTGCGTGCTCCTACGTCTTCCTCGCCCGAGCTTCCCAAAGAAGGAGATAGAGAAAGAGAGAAAGAGGGAAAATCGCGGCGAAGCTCTCGGATTGCGACGCTCTCTTATGCCAAGGAGACATAATTTCATTCACGCAATGCCGCTTGAATTTGAATAGTTTTTGGATATTAAAATTAAAATTGTTAATTGTCGATCTTCTGATGTCGCACTTCATATATTATGTTACAGGTTGTTATAATATCGATTTGTATATTCATCGTGTTGAGAGACAGAGAGAAGCCACGATCTCGATTAATGTATACATCATTTTCTTGATAACAAGGTTTCTATACTTTTTTTGATATTGTTTTGCCGAGTTTCGGGAGTTTCCCAGGTGCGATGTGAGAGATGAGGTAAAATGAGAGATGAGGAGGGATGATTAATCGCTTCCAGCGCGATAAGTCCACTTTGCGAGGGAGTATTTGTACAGAGCCGGCAGCGAGTTATCGACGAGTTATTGGAGTTTTCTCGACTGTGTAGCTCGCGCGCGTGTCGAGTGGGGTTACGTTAGAAGGGGAGGGGAGGGGCGACGGTGGGAGAGAAAAGGGATATGGATGGCACGCGGGAGGAAGAGGCGGCAGATCTAACGATATGGTGGGGGGAAGCGGCGGTGGTGCTCGGCCGTTGCATTGTGGGGGTGTTGGCCTTCAACTTGACGGCGCAGTTTCACTGACCTGCCTGAGAAACCCGCCAGCTTCGTGTGCTGGGGACCTACGGGCGCATCCACGACGCCAAAGGGTACCGCTACTTAAGAGTCCATCGAGCCCTAAACAAACCCCGCTGTCGCCGAACGACCGAGGAAGCCACGCATTCGAGATGTTAACTTTGTAGCTTCTCGACGCGGTTCGACGGCCGGCACGTGAAAAGCGAGTGTTTCTAAAGAATTCCTTACTGGTACGAATTTCTTAAAAGAGATCAAATATAGAGACCATTGGTCAGCTATTTAGTTAAAATATAATTTTCTAATAAGAGGAAAAATTTAAAAAACACAAGTAAACATTTTTAGGTAAAATTTATTACAGTATATTTCTCTCTCTCTCTTTCTCTCTCATATATTTTTAATACAGTAATTTGAAAAAATATATTTGAAGGTAACATTAACATTTAGATGATAAAGTTGAGGGAAAAATTTCGTTTTTCCGTTCTAATTCTTCGTTGAATCTCTCAAGTAGATCCAAGGAATAGTATCTCTTTGGGATATTCTGTGGGCGTAATTAAAGCAAAGACGAGCAGATGGCCCATGAATGTCGCTGTAGGATCTTTTCTTCGTCGAAACATGTTACTTTGACCTTTCCAAGAAGTACAGTAGCAATAAGAATTAAACTTTCGACAAATTCCCTTAACCGATTATAATGTTAAAATAATGTTCGATAATCCGTCTCGGTACACCGACAATTTTGAAATAATTCAAGTAAGGATTATCAAAAAGAAAAGAACATCGATATAGGGTTCAGCACAAGGACAAATTTAGAAAAGTCGACGCAGCTTATATATTTGACGCCCTATGCACTCGAGTTACACGGAGCGTCTATAATGCAGCCATGAGGCGCGTGGAAGCCTGTAACTATTGATCCTGCAGCCTTTGGGGAGCCGCTGCGCTGCTGCTGCTACTGCTACTGCTGCTGCTGCCGTTGTCGTTGCCATTGCTGCTGCTGCTGCTGCAGATTTTAGCAACGTCATTCAGACGCGTGACGTATCGTGGGAATGGAGAGACACAGCTTTATCTCGAATAGCATTCGTTCATGATTGTGTGCTCATACCCGAGGAACCAATGTGTCTCATGTGTATCAGTCATGAATGACAAGCCTTCTTTAACGGATGGAAAAAATAAATTTGCAGTCACCTTGTTTGAACAAACTGAATTCTCTGGTCGTTGCCCACTCCGTGCGCTCGAACTGACTTGAGGTCGAATCCGGATTCGAATCCGGATTCGCTGGTCTACGATTCCACGGTACGTACGGAACACGGTGCGGCGGATCAAGAGAGACCGACCGAAAGGCCCCGGACTCGTTCCTTTCGATCTTCTCTTCTCGTCCTTTCTCGTCCCTTAGACGAGGCGAACAAAGCAAAGGGTCCCCGAGCAAGCAGCGTTTTCTCTGACGAACGGGGCCTTTTTTCTTTCTCCTCTCTTTCCCTCTTTGCTTCTCTCTATCTCTTTCTCTCTCTCTTTCCTTTCCTCTCTTTTTCCCTATCTCTCCGTCTCGCCTCACCTTGGCCGCGGCCCTTCAACTGTCTACGACCCACGCCCCACCTCCTCCTCTTTCTCCGTTTGTGCCACCACCATCGGTACCATCACCAACCACCATCGCCACCTTCCTCGAGGTTCTACGAGCACGGCAACCTTCCTCTCCTTGGCGGGTCTTCGCTCTCCTGCCGCGCGCCGTATACCTGTGCACAAGTTCGTCTCGCACGCACGCACGCGTGCGCGCGAGCAAGCGAGCGCGCGCGCGCCCGGGTATTCTCTGATCCACCTCGTCCACCTGCCTCTACCTCGCCACAGAGTTATTTAGCCGAACCGAAGCCGCTTCAGTTCGCCCTAGGCGAATTTCCGGAATAAGGGAGAGAGAACCTTCGAGAAGCGGAAATTCAGCCTGGCGAACGAGCGAGCACGCGGTTCAAGTTGCACGCGAGCAGAGTCCTCTTCGGGGGGGTTTCCTACATGATCTAGAAATACAAAATTTTATTCTGAGACTGAGATGTCTCCGAAAAACCTTAAATAGTCAACATTAAAGGAAAAAATTAAAATTAATATCTTTTTTCCTAATATAAAAAATATATTTAATAGATACCTAATATATATATGCATAAGTAATATACGAGTTCTGTCGAGTTCTTCGAGCGCAACGTCTCACGTGATAATATGAGTAAAATTGGGGTTCTAATAACATTCACGACCTCGGGACGACTTCACGACGTTCTCACACCCTCTGACAAGTCAAGTCAATTTCTTTGCCGTACGTGTCGCCAATTGTTCACCGCCACGTACCGCGTTTCGTTCCGTATCGGCATTAGGATTACGCGTCGCGGCGCACGGCGGCCCTGAAGAAGCGGAAACACCGTCCGTGACATTGTCGCGTGCATGTCGCGCTTACGCAAAGATATCTCTAGGCCTGGGGGCCCCCTTCGCCTGACCGGCAGGCGAGTTTCCAAGCGCATTCAATCCGCGCGCGGACGAAATAATTCTGGAGAATTTATTCGTGGCCTTGCTCTCGTCCTCACGCTCTTTTGCCCTGAATTCTGCCTGTTTCGTTTTCTTATGGCGCGCGCGTTGGAAAACGCAAAATTTGATTACGAGGGACCGATGAGGAAAGGGGACAGAAGGAAAGAAAGAGACAATCGTATAATGGCGTTGGTCAGGAGGGAGATGAAAAAGCTGCGTGGTATGCGATGCAACGTACGTACGTCGCCTTTTCTCTCCTTCCATCGCGACGAAGGAGAGAGTGAACTGAATGAAAGGGAGGCCCGACGGCAGGGGGGGGGGAGACGAGGATAGAGCGAGATCGAGAAGGATAGAGACGGAGAAAGAGAAACGGAAGGTTCCCAGGATGAGCGCGAGAAGGAAACGACGGAGAGGAGCCAGGAGCGAAGGAGGGAGGAGTGGTTCACCTGCATTGCTAGCATTGCGCTGGCTCAAGGCCAAAGAGTCTGCGAGACCGAGGACCAGACCGGGTCGGGACCTCCTTCCTTCCAGTTTCCTGCACTCTGCTCTCTCACCGCGCCGCGCTGCGCCGTTCTTGCATCGCGCGCGGCGTGCCTACTTCGAAACCTCTCCTTTTCTCTCTCTCTTCTTCGCTCTTTCTTTCGCGTTATACCCCTCTGTACGCAAACAATTGCATCATGGACGCGCTGCTACTTTTGAAGGTTTATTGCGCGCGTGTGGGCGACTTCGTGCCCCGGCACGAAATACAAGGAGTAAAAGAAAACTCGCGCGCCACGAGGGTGCATAATAGCGTAATAATTGTAAACAATTTTCTCTCATTACGGCACAACACATATTGATATTTTTTCAAACGTTTATTCAATTGCGTTTAAAAATAGAAAGCATGCTCGGATAGCTCTGTTAAATTTAAAATTTTAAACCGAATGGAAAGTATTCGTGAAGTAATGAACGTTTCTTTTTTTTGTTTGATTGCAGGCTGCAAGATCAAAGCCCTACGTGCGAAGACGAACACCTATATCAAGACGCCGGTGCGCGGTGAAGAACCCGTCTTCGTCGTCACCGGTCGCAAGGAAGACGTGGCCCGTGCGAAGCGCGAGATTCTTTCTGCCGCGGAACACTTCTCGCAGATTCGCGCGTCGCGCAAGAGCTCGTTAGGCGCTCTCCTAGGCGCGCCACCTGGGCCACCCGCAACGGTGCCCGGTCACATAACGATTCAGGTACGAGTGCCCTACAGAGTAGTGGGTCTGGTCGTAGGCCCTAAGGGCGCGACCATCAAGCGAATTCAGCATCAGACGCATACCTATATCGTGACGCCCAGTCGCGACAAGGAGCCCGTATTTGAGGTGACGGGACTACCGGACAGCGTCGAAGCGGCCAGACGCGAGATTCAGGCTCACATCACTCTGCGAACCGGCACCGCACCAGGCGTCGTCGATGATACCGATCTGCTAGGCGCTCTCTGCCGCGGCGGTCTTGGCTCGGTTCTCGGTATTCCAGGTATCGATCAACCGGGATCCAACAGCTCCAGCAGCTCTAACGGGGCGTTCTCGAGCAGCGCCAGCTGCAGTAGCTCGTCCAGCAGCTCCGCTGGGATGGGGATGAACGACCTCGTCTCCATTTGGAGCGGAATAGAGAGGGACGAGGGACTCGGCGAGTCGCCGTCGTTCGAGTCGCAGCCGACCTCGACATCGTCAATCTGGTCGTTCCCGAGCGTCGCGCTACCCTCGAGGCCGTCGCCGCCGGCGACGGCGAGCCCGGCATCGCCCACAGACTCACTTCTGGGCGGCGCACGGCGGGACTGCGTCGTATGCGGTGAGAAGGAAGTCACCGCGGCGCTGGTGCCCTGTGGACACAATCTCTTCTGCATGGACTGCGGCAATCGGGTCTGCGAGGGCGCGGATCCAAGCTGCCCGGTGTGCGCCAGACGCGTTCTGCAGGTGCTCCGTATTTTCTCCTAAGAGGGGCCCCGCCGAGCCGCCGCCCGTCAGTCTCCCGTGTCGCGACACCCGGTGTACACAGCGGCTGCACCAGCAATTTACCACGAGGATGGCCGGCTAATAACAGTTCCAGCAGGCATGACGACAAAGCTGGAGTACAACATTGGCGCCCGCGACAACGACGATGCCTGCGCGATAATCCTCTCGGCAGTCCTCAAAGTTGGCCTTTTTTCTTCATCGCTGTCATCGCTGTCGTCGTTGTCGCCATCATCATCATCATCATCGTCGTCGTCGTCGTCGTCGTCGTCATCATCATCCTACCAAGCCGGTGTGACGCCGTCGTCGTCAGGGGACCGAACGCGCACAAAGTCTCAATTCCACGGCTGCCAATAATCTCTTACGCGACGGGGATTCGCCTCGACGAATCGATCATTCGGAGCCGATCGTCGAGTCCGTCGAGTTCCCGCTGACCGGATACAACGAAGCCAGCTTTTAAGTTCTACGAGATATATATTTAAAGAGACAGAGATAGGGATGGAAACACTCACCCACTCATCGCCATCGCCATCGCTTCCCCCTACCCTCCCTTCGCTGTACTCCACTCGCCTGTTCCTCTCCCCCCCGTCCCTTGACGCTTGCATAGATTGGGCTCGCGGCTCGTCGAGTACTCTAATAAGCCTCGAGGTATGAGAGAGACGGTACGAGGGCACCGAACAACGTTACTCTCATCGTACCGTCCGAACTAACGTGCGAGATAAAAAAAAGCCTCTCTATTGCCCGCAAAAGATCGACGCCGCAATATTCTGCGACTGATATTACTAGTAGCGAGACTGATGGTTACCGAGACGCTACTCTCTTTTCTTTCCACCGCGGAGGCTACGGTCCGAAATTAATCGAATGAGTCGCGGACCGATTAGCCTCATCGCCGAATTTTTGACTACACTCAACACCGCCGGTGTGTTTTGGCTGTTTTAATTAAAACTCTGCTCGTTCCTGAGATTTCTCTGGGTCGAACGTTTGCTGGGAACGGAGGCGGCTTGTCTAGCATGATGGATCTTAGAGCTTTGCCGATTTTCCTTTTTGTATTTTTTTTTACAACTATGACTGAATGGTGAATCACGTTCAAATCATGTCCAAAGAGATAACTTTCGATTTTTCTGACTGCTTCTAAGCTTCATATATCATATTCGGTGAAGAAAGCATGCTTATACGTTCGTATCTTCGACTGTCAATTTTTTAAATCGGTATTGAACCAAGACGAAGATACGTATCTAACATTTTGTTTGTCTAACCTGCGATGCTTGATTTGTGCCAAAAGGGCTAGACAAAAGAAAGATTATTGATAATTTCGCAACGATCGCGCGCTAAACAACCTTGCGATTTTCGCCTTACATATTTTTCCTATTTTTCTTAAAAGAAAAAAAAGCGTACAATATAATTTTGATCTCAGCGTTCGCTCGGAACGCGCGTAGAAAGTGTTAAGTTCATCTCGATCCAGAAAGGGTTTTCCGTTGCCGAGTGTACAATTACGAACTCGACGAACCTGCGAGCTGCGGTCGCTAGTGCGACAGCGTAGATTACCGAGAATTATCTACACGTACACGAGTCGCAGACACAAACACGTACATACACACGCATACAAATACCACACCACTGGACACACTGATAGATGATCTCGCACAGACATCCTACACGTGAAAAAGAGAGGGAAAAGAAGAGAGGGTCACGGGCCCCTCGATTCGCCACGAAATCACGTAGTGAATATATAGCGGACGGCGCGCGCGTTCGTTCCACCCGGCTTCCCTCGCCATTAGAGTATTATCTTAAAATAATATCTCTTTATATAAGCGAAATAGCAATGGATAAAAAAATAGCTCTAATATATTATAAATATAAACATATATATGTATGTATATAAATATATATAAATATATATATGTATATATACAATATATATGTCGTCAGAAAGTCTGATAGTGGCAGGAAAGCGAGAGAGAGAGGGAGAGAGAATGGGATAATGCGTGTGTGGTTGAAAGAGTCAGAGAGAAAGAGAGATATAGGCGGCGAATGATATTTTGTCGACGAGATCTAGATTTTGTATTTTTCGCGCATTTCGCCGATGGGACGACGGGTGGTCTTGGGCCGTAACGTCGTAGAGGAAGAAAGAGAGAATTATTGACATATTACCTAGGAATATGTTGCACGAGTTGCGTAGAGAGAAAATGGAAAATTGCAGAAAATTATGAGGATAAAAAAAAAAGAGAGGGAGAGAGAATAGAACGCAGCGCGTAAGTCGAGGGGCCGCGCGTCCGCTCTCGGGCAGGAAGAACGAGCGCAAAAAACGGGGTCGGTCGATGGCGCCGGCAGCTCTTGCGAGTTGTATTTTTCAACTCGCTGATAATCGAGCGGATCGCTTAAACTCGACGCTAAAACGATACTCGTTTCACGTTTAGGGATCGACGATGCATACGTATTAGTGTCTTTTTTTTCGTTTGGAAAGACATAATCATATATTATCGCTATATTACCTTGCATTAATATAAATATATATATATTATATATATATGTATGTATATCGCATGGATGTATATCGGATCACGCATCCGCATATACGTTCATATTATTCTATATACATATACGATATGTCACTGTACCGCTTCCTCTCCGAGATCGTTGGGAGGGAAGGACGAGTGCTGAACGTCTCTCATTACCTTCAAGAGACAAAACGGAACTATGACTATCGTCCTGTCTCCCCCGTTCTCGTGGACGAGCATCGTGCTTTCGCAAAGGGCGATCTTAAGGGGCCCCCCGTTAGACGCGAGGGTGCAGAACCGCGACGTTCGTCCTTATATCCATGAGAGGGAGCACGGTACGTGTCCCTACGACCCGTTTCTGCATATATAATCTCGTTTCGAAGAAAGACGACAGAGGGGAAGAAGCTAATCAAACGGGGGTTTTACAATGGGGCCCTAACGCGCGTGACAGGAGAGACGATACTTCGAATTTTTACTCGAAACAACAAACGCGATAGCTTAAACGTTAACTGCGGGAGGAGTGTACAATTCTTCCCGCGCATTTCCGTTTTCACTCGCTTCGATATCGAGTTTTAACTTCACGTTCCACTTTTCTTTTTAGCCCCCGTCATCGTTCCCCCTCGAGTTTTCTCCGCTTTCTCCTCTCTCCCCGGACCTCCCCTTCCCCCCAAGTCTCCTTCGTCGTTGTCTGCATTTCTATTTTTTTATCAAAAGTTCTTGTCAATCGTTGCCATTTTTTAAACGAATATATGCTCAAGTCGCAGCTCCGAATAAGTCGAGATACATAATACATATTACTATATATTATATATAAATATATATATTATATATATTTAAATCGCCCATCTCGTGATGGACGTTGGAAGATAAGAGAGAGAGAGAATATTTTTTCGATTTTTCTGAACACGAGTGACTCGGCCTTTTTGTTTATTTTTAATTTTTTTTTTAAATAAATTTTCGTTGCGCGCGAAAATGTCGCCGTTCGCCGCGTGCCGCTTCGTTTCGTGTTTCTCCACACACACTCCAGTTCCTTTTATTATTTCTCCGTATATACCGCGCGATCTTCGTTCTAGACTCTTCTTTACACATACGTACGCGCACTCACGCACGCGTGACACACGAACGAAGAGTCGCACTCCACTCACGCACTCACTCCGCACGCGCTAAACGCACGCTAAAAATAATTTCGCGTACGCACGAGCTCCGGAGGGTGCGCGATAGACATGCGCGAACGATATTTGTATATTATTATTTGTTACTTGTATAACGTCACACAAGCAAACATTTCACGGACACAGACGAGAATGAACGTACACACGCATACATACTACACATCCACGCTTAACACACGAAAGACACACCAATAACACTTTGATGCATAACAGAAGCGTATATTTATATATTATAATAATCGAGAACTAAAGAGAGAAAGAGAAAGAAGTTTATTTTATATTTAAGTTCAAAGTAAAATAAATTCTATATTTTTTCTATGTTAAGTATAAAGAAAAAAAAAGATGTGGTAAAAAAAGTATGGTGATGTGTCACACATACACACATATATATATATACATATATATAAATTATATTATTATATTATATATATATACACACATAATATAAAATATATTTATAGGTATTCTCTTTAGCATCTACGTTCCGAAAGACGCCGCGCAGCCGCGAGCGCGAAATAATGGCAGGCGGCTGGCATACACGTGCGTATATATTGTAGATCGTGTCATTAAATCTCTCATTAACTTTGCTATAATAAGTCTGAGAAATCCGTTCTGGATCTCGCGGGCGTGCGCGTGTGCGAGATTCGGGAGGGTGATGAGAGGAGGAGAGGGCGATAAAACGAGGCAAAGAAGGGAGAGACGGACAAAACGCTAATGAAACGAGAGTTTTTTTCAGCGGAAAACCACTTTAAGAAATAGAGACAGAGAGATAGAGCGGGGAGGAAAATCTCATTAATTCCACGTATATATGCGTGCGTTTATACATTTCGATTAAATCACTGAGCGTATGGAGAGAGAAAGATATTACAATAATATATTATATATTTAAATTAGCGATCCTGAGAAAGAGAGAGAGATAAAATAAAACAAGACGCCGATATTACTTATTGTTCCACGGCGAAAAGTACGGTCTCTATGGGCGCGCGAAGAGAGAAACACACGCGGGCGAAGAGAGAGAGGAGCGTGAGAATGTTCGGAAACGGAAAGACGGAAGCTTGAATAAAAAAAAAAATAGAGGGTTCGTATAGAGAGAGTATAGGGAAGGAAACGACAGTAGGTTAAACGGGAACGAGAAAGAGAGAGAGAGAGAAATGTAGGATGTTGAGTGTAGGGTGTAGGGTGCAGGGTGGTTGCCAGAATTCGGAATGACGCCAAAGTCAAACGGAAGAACGGCGCGTGTGTGGGCAGGGAGCTGGAGAGGGGATACGGAAGACGGATCAAGTTTTTCCTTTTTTTTTTTTTTTTTTAACGATTGCGTCGGATGTGCTGACCGATGGCGGAGTCCGGGAGTTTGAAATATCGAGACGAAATTCCGACACACATCCTCCGATAGGAAAATATATAGATCTCGCGAAATTTTAGCCTCTCTAATCATCCGTTACTAAGTGGTGCTTTTAGAAACGTATCGGAATATATAAGAAATTTGAACGGAATACACATCGCGCGCGTCATGAAAAATCCAATACGTGTAATTTGCGTATCTTTCGACGGTTCGAAGTTCGGTATCGAGAGTTCTCGTTTGATTTTTATCGCGCGTCGAGAGCTGAAATTCTTCAAAGAACGCGTCGTTACTCAGTCTTCCTTACGGTCGGTCCTCATTGGGTTCGAACCGTGTTTCGGCAACTCGCGAGAGAGCACTCTCGAAAGTGGTAACGGCGAGAAGAAAGTTCAAGACTAAAACGTTTTGAAGGCGAATGGAAATAAATATGTCGTAGGACGAAAGCCTCGTCGAGAACCTCCGCTAGACTTTGGGACAATCCTATACTGTAATTAACACGTTAATCGCGAAAAAAAGTACACATACAAACGCGCACAGGAATACGAGCATTTAGGTAGTCTTCACTTTGGCCGAGGTTCCGACGTCGCAGGGTCGTCGGTGTTATCGTTCGTCATCATAACGTACACGTGCTCGCGTCATGTGTACGCGTCTCTTTTCCCGTCTTGGTTGAATTGATACTCGACACTAAACGTCGTCGCGATCCAACGTCTCGAATTTCCACCGGCTCGGAAAAACGCGATCACGTCGAGCTCTCACGTTCACTCACCGCGAACACGTAGGGCATCTATGATTATCGCTTCATCGCCGTTCGCTATCGGCACCGCAACAGGGAAACGAGGAGGGACAGATGTAAATTCGCGTAACTTAACATATAGTGCCATACGTAAATCAAAAGCTGACCGCGCGTGTGCGCGCCGATAAGTGATAATAAAACGGGCGTTAGTTTAGCTAATCGTCAATGGTAACGAAGCGCGAGTCGGGAAAAATCGCCATGATTATTTCGCGGCTATCGAGTGTCGATAGTACGAAGAAAAGAGAGAATTCTTGACATCGCTCTCACTTCTTCGAATGAGCATTTGCTCCTCTTCTCGCGTATTTACGTACGTTCATTCGTGCAAAACCCGTGTACTCGCTCGTGTCGCGGGGACATTCGCGTATGATGCTGTCGAAACGCGCACTCGCGAAACATACCGATATAAATACGGTTAAATAAAAAAGGGAGACGTGGCGCGTCTAGTTTTAGAGGCGTTCTATAACGAGTAACTTAACTGATAAGGGGTGTCGCGTGACGTAAGATTTTAATAAATGTAAAATATTAAACTTTAATGATTATAATATAGCCATTGGCTGTGACCGATAACTGCCATTTTCTTAATCAAGAAATAAAAAAAAAAAGAGTAATAAAACGCGAAAGCGGAAAAGTAGTAAGAGGCACCGTACTCGGGCCGCAGATACACGATCATATGCACACACTTGCGAAAAGCGACTGGTACACTCATATATACACATACACGAAGTACGTTGTAAGGACACAAGATACTCTCCGGGCGCTTTTACGATCTTCGCGAGAGGAGAGACGCGGAAAACGTTTCGCGACGTGAACGCGACGAGTATATCGAACAGGATAATAAGCAGAGAAGAAAATCGATAACGAGCGTATCGGGCGTGATTTAACGACAACGGAAACGGAAAAGGTCAGTTTATCGGCGACGGAGGAAAGGGAGAAGAAAAAAAATGGTTATCGTATATCGAGCACACGAGCAAGCGCCGCGCGAGAAATCGTCTGTCGACCCCTCTCGGCTTCGATCCAGTAGCAACCCCTATTCACCCTCGCAACGTTAAAAACTCGAGTAAGGTAATAAAGCAAAGCGTATTGTTAAGGATGTAAAAGAGAGAGAAAGCGCAGACATACACACATTTTAAACACGACGATACATATCTCCAAGTATAATAATTAAATGTAAGAAAGATTATATAACTTTAGTAGATGGCAGAGTAATAAGGAAATTTACAAAAAAGAGATGATTTAACTATAGGAATATATCGATGGATATAAATAGATATATATATTATATATATATATATATATATTATATATAGAAAGAGGAAAGAGAGAAAAAAATTAATGATCGTTGTTGCTTGATTTAACTCTATTTACTATATGATTATATTCTATTGAATAGGTATATATAACTGATTAATATTATTATATTAATGCTGATTATATTAACATTATTATTATTAATAAGTTTTTATTGCTTCAATGCTTTTTTATCACATGGATATATTA